AGCACATTCTTTGAGTATTTGGAATCTGACCAGCTCAAGTTTATTTAGAAAGTAGAAATGATCACTCAGTGTAAAGCTCATTTTGACGGGTAACATAGGTTCATACTACTTGGTTCCTTGCATTTGTACAACTGTACTTATCGATTTGGCTCTAAAACAAAACTATTGTGTGTTTTCTTTTGGGCGGGGCCAAGAGTGAAGGTTGGTTCTGAATCTGAGAGGTGGATGAAATGTTGGGAGCATACTGGGCATATGCTTGCAGTCCATACTGTGCCCGAGTTAGCTCTGACGTGAAAATCTATCTAAAATATCTTCCTGAGGTGTAACAGTATCTTCCCTAGGTGAGCCAGTGATCACCCTTCAGTTGCATGATTTATGTTTAATCTGGGCATTTATCCAGGTGTTAGCCATTTTTCTTGGAATATTTGTGTGTTCATTAAGTTTGTAGTGAGTACAAATTTTTTGCCTCCAACCATATGTATTAGGGCGCTGACCTAGGGTCCTGAATGATCTTTCTTGAAGTCCAATGATTTTTCTTGTAACTGCATGCTTTCCTCAAGCCTCTCTGACTGAGTTAATCTATGAGAAATATAGTCTACATATGGTTAGAGGTTTTGTCCATAGTTCTCATCTAAACAACTTAGAAATTGTATATTGTTGAGTCTCCTAATACTTATTGAGTTTTGAGTGTGAGCTTTTTTTTTTTGCATCAGCAGGAGGCACAAGGCCAAAGAAAGTAGAAGACAAAGGGGAACAGCGAAGAATCAGATGGGGATAACAGGGGTGTCGATCACAATATTTCTAGAAACCTGACCCCTCTTTGGTCGTCCTCCAAAATGGGAAGCAACTCTTGCGGGGGATCTTCTAGCTCGTACATACCGTAGGGATAGACGAGACTGTGCTTCGAGAGCCAGTCCGCGACTCTATTCCCTTCCCGGTATGTATGAACCAGATTCACCACCCAGTCTAGAGTCAACTTCCTCCTGATAGCCGAGAGGAGCGCTGCGTATGGGTGCAGAGGATCACTCCTGTTCTTCACAAGTTGGATGGCCATTTGCGAGTCAGATTCGATGATGAGAGTTCTATAACCAAGCTTCCAACCCAACTTCAAACCATGATAGATAGCCCAGAGTTCAGCCACAGTTGCCGAACAAACACCAAGGCTTGAGATGAAACCGCCTGCCCAGGTGCCTTCAGAAGAGCGAACAACTCCTCATGCCCCGGCCATCCCTTGCGATCCACTAGCTGCACCATCGACGTTGATCTTCGTCCACCCTACAGGTGGGGATTTCCACCCAATATCCATCATGGCACGCTTCGGAGGCTGGTTCACTCTGCCGCTGATGGGAGAAGGAGCATTCCACGCCCTGAACCACAAATCCGCTTTGATCTTGATACTTTGCATGAGTGATGGGGCCGACAACGTCTTGGGAGAGCCCTTAAAGGCTCCCTCATTTCTATTCTTCCATAAGCACCAAAGGGAAACACTGAAGAAGGCGTCCCAAGGCACCCCGGCAGCAGTCTTGATCTTGCTTGTAAGGTTCCTGCGCAACCAGCCTTCCCAAGGGGAGCTAAAAAACTCATGCTGAGCTTCCATGGGTACACTTCTATGCCAGAGGTAGGCCGCAGGGGGGCAAAAGCGAAAGATGTGATCAATATTCTCTACCTGGTTCTCACATCTATAGCAAGAACCATCCTGGGTCATATGCCTTTGAACTCTGACTTCGAACACACTTTTCCTTGAGTAATCAGCCAGATGAAGCAACATATCCGCTCAGGCACCGGGAGTTGCCAGACAGTCTTCCACCACTGCTGCTGTTCATCGGAGAATGCGGGCTGCAATAACTGGTAGGCACTCTTTGTGGTAAAACGGCCGTCTGACGTTGGACTCCAGAACAATCTATCCTCCTCTGTTGCCAAGGGGTCGATAGCGTGGGATGTTATCTTCTGCTGGGAGGAGGTGGCTAAACATCTCGACCTTCCAGTTCCCATCTTCATCCACGAACTCCGACACCGGAAGCTGCCGGTCTTCTTCCGGGATTTGTGAAGTAGCCAATTCCTGAAGGGGAACCTGCACAGTCCACGGGTCGGACCAAAATTTAGTCTGGTTTCCTCTATGTATGTTCCACGCACAACCCTGTTTTAATAAAGCAGAAGCCTTAGTAAAACTGGCCCAGGTAAAGGAACTTCCCTGACTCTGTTTGAGGATCTCAAGATTTTGCCGGTCTCCTCCATACTTTGCCCGAACAATTTGAACCCAGAGGCTATCTTTCTCCTGAATGACTCGCCAACCGCCTTTGGCTAGCATGGAGAGGTTAACTTCCCTCGTTGAGCGAATGCCTAGACCTCCATTGCATTTCGGTACTAGCAGCTGCTACCATCCAACCAGGTGTATCTTCTTCTTGGCTTCTGTATCCCCCCAGATGAAGCCTCTATTAATCCGGTCAAGAGTCCTGCAAACATTCACAGGGAGCAGTTCTGTTTGCATAGGATAAATGGGGATAGAGGCAGAGATAGATTTCACCACTGTAATCCGAGCCGCAAGGGAGAGGTGTCTGGCTTTCCAAGGGGCGAGCTTCTTCTGAATTCTCAGCACCAGGTCGCGATACCTCGCCTTAGTCACTCGCCCGTGGATTGCCATTACCCCTAAATAGCGCCCTAAGTCCACCGTGAGCGGGATCTCAGCCCGAGAAGAAAGGCGGCGAGCTCTCCTCCGATCAATGTTAGCTGAGACAAAGATAGCCGATTTGTTGTAGTTAACTCTTTGTCCCGAGTTTTGGCAAAACTCATCAAGGCATTGCTTGATTATCCTAACTTGAGAACCTTCAGCTTCTGCAAAAAGAATAAGATCGTCTGCAAAAAAAAAGGTGAGATATAGAGGGGCCTTCCTTGGACAATCTCAGAGGCTTCCAAAGCCTATCCTCTATAGCCTGATCAATCCTATGAGACAATCTTTCCATGCATAACACAAAAAGGTAAGGAGATAAAGGGTCTCCCTGACGAACGCCTCTGGTAGGTATGATTGGGCTTGAGAGCTCTCCATTCCATAACAATCTCATCCTGTTGTGCTCCACACAAAACATAATGCAGTTAATCCAAGAGCTAGGGATGCCAATTTCCTTGAGAGTGTCTCGGAGGAAATCCCATCTGAGACGGTCATAAGCCTTTTCCAAGTCAATTTTGAGCACGATTCCTCCTCTCTTGCCCTTCTTCTTTCTCAAAGTGTGAAGAACTTCCTACAAAACAATGATGTTATCTGTTGTCTGCCGGCCAGGTATGAAGCTGCTTTGTCTGGGAGACACTAGCTTCCCCATGATGGGCTTAAGACGGTTGGTGATTGCTTTGGTAATGGCTTTCAGGCACACATTGTTGAGGGAGATCGGGCGCAGCTGTGACACCATCTCCGGGTGGTCAACCTTGGGGATGAGAACCACTGTCGACTCCACCACTTCCTCTGGCAGAACCCCTGTAGAAAAAAAGCTAAGAGCCAAGTCAATGAGAGCTTTCCCAACCACCTGCCACGATCTTTGGTAGAAAATGGCTTGAAAACCGTCCGGGCCCGGGGCTTGGAGAGGCTTCATGTCTTGGATCGCCTTAAAAATATTAGCTCCTGTGAAGGGGCGAAGAAGCTGGCGGACATCTTCTTGTGACATCCTCGGGAAAGCATGTTTAGGCATGTCATCCGAATACTCTTGATCATCCTGCAGGTACAGAAGAGCAAAAAAGTCAAAGACCATGGCCGCCAATTCCTGCGGGTCAGACACCCACTCTCCGTTGGCGGCTTTCAGGCTCGCTATCCTGTTCCTCCGTCTTCGAATGATCGCTTGCTGGTGGAAATAAGCAGTGTTCCGCTCTCCAAATCGGACCCACTGCTCCCTTGACCTCTGGAACCAGATCAATTCTTCTTGTTCGAGCACATCATCGAGCTCCTTTTCAAGCTTCGATTGTAGTTTGAAGAGACCTGGGGAGAAGACATTAGCAATTTTCTTTTGGATCCCATGGATTCGGCTAAGAAGTCTCCTCTTCTTTTGAAAGACATTGCCAAAAGTGGACTTGTTCCACTCATTTAATTTCTCGGCCATCTTCTGCAATGCTTCCTAAAGTGAAACATGAGAGTCCCATTCCCTGGTAAGAAAATCATCATACGAGTCATGAGATAACCAAGCCCCTTCGAAGCGAAAAGGACGAAAAGTAGTATGGTGAACTCCCTGATTTCCAAACACCGTCAGAATTGGGTGATGATCTGAATGAACTCTAGGAAGGTGGTGGACCGTAGTGTTGGGGCAGAATAAGTTCCAACTAGTGTTGCATAGGCTCCTGTCGAGGCGGCTGGCTTTATACCCATTTGGCGGCTCCCCCCTAGTCCAAGTGAAACGCGGACCAGAGAAACCAATGTCAAGGAGCCCTGCCTGATCCATCCTGTCGTTGAAACGTTTGCAGCGGCGGAGAATAGACGGAGAGGCATTTCCGGCTTGCTCCGACGGGCTTCGAATGGCATTGAAGTCTCCGGTCAGAAGCTATGGAAGTTCAAAATCGTCCCTGGTACCTTGAATGGCTTCCCACAAAAAATGTTGCAATCCCTGGTTTGGGCTCGCATACACTGCCGTCAGTAGCCAAGGAGGGGCCCTCGCATCAGTGATTCTCACGGTGATGTGTTGAAAGCAGGCTGACATCAGCTCCAATGAGAATGCTCTAGCATCCCAGCAAATCCAGATGCCGCCTTTTCTACCATCCGCCTCAACTCGCATAATGTTGGGGAAGCCCATACGACCACAAACTCTGTCCGCCACCTCCCCGCTGATCTGCGGTTCCAAAAGAATCAAAATGTCAGGTTATGGTTGAACACAATGAGCTTGAGAGCTCTGACGAAGGCGCTGCTACCAGCGCCTCCAACATTCCAAGAAAGAATTTTAAAATTGCACAAATCGGCAGCAGACATTAAAGGATAAAAAGGCAAAGGAGAAAGGGGAAGGAAGGGAAAACACGGCCGATGCGGGGGACTAGGAAGCAGAATCTGGGGCGGCCGAAATACAGGCCTCAATCGGACTCGGCTCCTCTGCTAAGTTCACCAAGGCTTCCTCCGATTGACCCGACTTCGCTGCACCCGTCCACGCAGCTATTTCTTGGAGAGTCAGAGTTGCCATTCTAGTTCTAGATTTGGTCTTCTTTTCTTTGACAGGTGTCCAGACTTGGAGGGCTCTGGCGGCGACTTTCTTCGGCGACTTGCGAGGTTTAGATTTCTTCTTTTTCTCCTCAGCTTGCTTCCTTGTCCGAGCTGCCGTCGACGGGGTCTCTGCCTTGCGATCCGCTTCCTTCTGGCTGTCAATGGATGGAACTGTCACCACCTGGATGACCGTGGCATTGGGGCCAGGGAACTCTTGCAATGGAGGTGGGCTTGGGGAACTTAGACCTTTGTTGGACATCTGCGTGGCAGGGCCTAAGCTTGCTATAGGCCCACTACTGGTAGAGGTTGAGCCCGCCTCCTTGGTCCGGGATTTAAAAGCCGCCTTATTAGCTCCTAGCGTTGGGCCCGCAGCTGAGGAAGAGGGAATAGGCCCAAGAACCCCTTTGCCTCCAGTTGCCACTTCCGTCACCTCCCTACCTACTCCTTCCTTCCCATTACGTTGCCCTACCCCAGCTGTCTTTCCTTTTTCATGTAATCCGCCCCGCACCATCTCCTCCCGTTGGCTTGGTGACTCTTTCTGCCCGTTAGAGCCTTCCATATTTCTGGTCGAAATCTTTCCTTTTCCAGCTTTACCAAAATTTGTCAACTCTCCCTGCGTCGCGCCAGTATTTCCTTTCTCAGCAGCCCGCGATCCGCGCCGTGACCGTCTCGTTACCTGCATCCAAGGACCAAATCCGGTCTTATCCTCCGACGAAGTCTCCGACCAGCCCTCCGGTACCCTTTTCAAAGCTCCGGTGGTGACTGCTGGCGTGTTCGCCGCCAGGGACGGGCAAGCCGACATTGAGTGTCCAATTTTTCCGCATTCGAAACAAACTGCAGGCAGATTCTCATACTCTATGTATTGCCATTTCCTATCTAATCGGACACGCGTTACTAGAGGCTTGGAAAGATCCAGCTCCACCGCCATACGGGCAAACTTCGCGCGCTGTTGATGCTGCGTGTGGAAGTCTAGTTTGATTGATCGGCCAATCATATTCCCTAGCGTGAAAAGGATCTCCTTGTGATAAAAATGCACCGGGAAGGCCGGCAATTGTATCCACACCACCATGGATCTAGGAGTTGCATCAGAGAGTCTGAAATCGGGTGTCCACTGGAAAACAATCAAATAGTGATCAAAAATTACCCAGGGACCCTCTGTCAGCGCCCGGAAGTAATCGGCATCGTTGCTAAGCTTGACCAGGAAGTATTCTTGCTCAAGTGCCATAACCTCCATTGCTCCTGATGGTCGCCAAAGGTTTTTAATTTTATTACTGAACGTGAGAAAAGAGATGTTCAGCCCCACCACCCGGACCACCAGAGTGCGTTGCCACGAAACACAGAGCTTGTCCTTGAACCCGCTAGAGATCTTTAACTCCGGCTCTCTATTATAGCTCCTCGTTATTAAGTCGTGCTCGCCGACTGGGGTCCAAGACACCTTACCCTGCATCTTCTCTGGATTCGATCCTGTCACGACGGTGGCATATGATAGCGGCCTTTCCGGTGTCTGATGGAGCGGAGCCACCTCCACCGGGGAAGGGTCAACCATCATTCCCGTCACGTTCGTTGCAACTACGGCGTTTGATGGATCGGTGACGGAGATGTTCCCTGAGGACAGCCTCGCATCATTTTCACTCGACAAAGGTTGACAAAAGTCTGGCGGCCTATCGGAGGGGTTCAGCTCGGTCGCCGACGATGAAATCAGAGGTTCCATTCAGAGAGAAATCCAAATGTCTAGTTTTGAGTGTGAGCTTACAATCCTATTCAACATAATCTCCACTATTGCAATTAAGCATCGAATGATAACTAAATATTCATTCCAAATTGAAATCAAATGAGTAAAATGCTATTATATGGTTTGATTTTCTTTAAGGTTGCCAGTTATTCTGTAACTTCCAAATCTTGATAAGTGCAAACCTTTTTCGACAGGTTTCTCAATACTTCAGAGGCACTTTTGAAGTTCAGGAAGCTCCTTCTCATAGAATTGACCACATCGTTTTATTAGGTAGCTCCATTTTTTTTGGTAGGAATTAGTTAGCTCCATTTAGTCACTCTGGAACAAGGACAAAATTCTTGATGGAACTGGTCAGAGACAGAACGCTGATCTGGTTTGAGAAAGGATATTGGAATTAGAGGACGAGAGGAGAAAGAAGTTTCGATGATACTTCGGGTAGCATTACAATTTATAATAATACAATATCGACAATTATCAATAAATTGTCTTTACTTGTTGGAGTGCTTGTATAGTGTTGCTTTTCATTAATTGTATCCTCATTATATTAAAATGGGCCAATATGTAGGTATAATAAAATGTCTTCACAAACATCAAATATATAGTATAATAAAATTGTTTAAATAATATTTGTAAATGTCACCAATAAATTATATAGTGATTTACTGTGTCAACAATAAATGTCGGAAATTGAGATACCGAGACTTTTATGTGTCACAACATTTGGTTGAATTTAACAATGATAATGAATTTTTTTAATTTTAAGCGATGCTAGAAAATTAATGTGATGGTTATAAATGTCGATATAAAGATATGTAGCAACATTGAAACATGTCGATCGGAATACATGTCGAAAAATGTGGATGCCAACGTTTTTAGTAAATGTCGTAAAGTTTTTTTAGAGACAATTTGATATGTCGTAAAATGTAGATATGGATTGTTTATTGTAAATGTCGCAAGATTCTACAGTCACATTTTCGTATGTCAAAATAAAATGTCGGAAGATATATGTACAAACTCTTTTTGTAAATGTCGCATGGTTCTACAGTCACATTTTCATCTGTCGAAATAAAATGTTGGAAGATATATGTACCAACACTTTTTGTAAATGTCGCAAGGTTTTATAGTAACATTTTCATATGTCAAAATAAAACGTCGAAAGATATATGTACCAACATTTTCTGTAGATGTCGCAAGGTTCTATAGTCACATTTTCATATGTCGAAATGAAATGTCGGAAGATATATGTGCCAACATTTTTTGTAGATGTCGCAAGGTTCTATAGTTACATTTTCATATGTCGAAATACATGTCGGATAATGTAGGTACCGACATTTTTTGTAGATGTCGCAGTAACTTTAATCGACAAAATAAAACACGACATTTCGATACAATTAGCCGTCATTTTTATAAATGTCGGCACAAAACTAAACCGACATTTTGACATCTTTAAGCGACATTTGAAAATAACGCCATAAGCTGGTTTTTTTTTGTAGTGGTCGTACAAGTACTTAATTAGTTCACAAAAGCAACCATAATTTCTCCTAACAAATTGGGGAGAAAAATAACCTTTGCTATTTTAGTTGAAAATAACAAGAAATGTGTTCACAGTAGAAGCCATAACTAGCGCAGCGGAACCAGGACAACTGTTTTTCCCCAGGGAAGTCGTAATCCTTTCAAACATTTTTAGTACTCCTTGCCTTCTATAAAAACACACCTACCGTAATTGAGATGATTCCAACAAATTCTCAATATAATTGACATTTGGTGATTTGATTCATCATGACTTCCTTAATTTATCAACTCCTTATCTCCGCCACAAGTTTTCTCCTCTTCCTTGCCTGTTTCCAGCATTTCACAGGTAACAGAGAAAAAAAAAAGTTTCATACTTTTTTTTTTTACCATTTCCTTAAATTTGCTTTTTCACCCCTCTCAATTTGAACGTCCTGACTGAAGTTAGACTCAGTGCCAGCTTACTTCATTCAAATCGCCTCGCTCGCTATTTCGTCATTAAATGCACACATCAACATTATGTACAAAAGTATCACTTCATGCTCATCCAACAACCGTTAATATATAAAAGCGAACGATTCGACGATGTCAACCGAATCTCTGAGCCTAACCCAACCCATCCAGCACACTCGCAAATTTCCTGTTTTTTGTTTCTTTCTTTCTTGAACTTGATCCAACATTTCAGTACATAATTCGAGCTACCCAAGTAAGTCTTGATAAAATACGTCACCCAACATTTTCGCAGGTAAAAATACCGTTTTTATCACTATCTTCTTCTTTCTCAATTCATCAAGGGTTTTTTTTCTCAGTCCGACTAGCGTGCTGAGGAAAGTTATAGACTCGTTGCCAGCTGACATCATTCAAATCTCGTAGCTAGCAATTTCGTCATCAAATGCACAAAAGTATCACTTCATATGCACAAGCAACAACAAAAATCATAGAGCCGAATGATCATCCAACGATGTCAGCCCTGTCTCCGAGCGACCCATATATCCAACCTGCTAGCAAATTTCCCGTATTTTCTTTCTTCAACTCGATGCAGCATTTCACGGCATAATTTGAGCTACCAATTCCCCATAAATAAATAAAAAAAGATAAAATTTCTGACGCCATCACTGTACTGTCAAAAACCAGTTGATCCTAGTAACTCGAGTTATTGGGACCAACTAGTTCATGACATGGTATCAGAGCCTTCTGTGACCAAAAGGTCTTGTGTTTGAATCTGAATAACCCGCCATTTGTGAATCACATGGTATTCTTGTATTCAGACCTGTGCAAATTTCAAGCCCTTGTGAGTGGCTTTAATTTGAGAGGGTGTGTTAGTGTTGTGGTATATGATCTACGATTGAACCTCTCCCAACAACTCGAGTTATTGGGACCAACTGGTTTATGACATTTACATGCACATGTCTCCCCTGACACATGGTTTGGTCAATCTAATGAAACATATATTTTTTTTCTTGTCTTTTCCCCATGCATGCATGCAGACGCACAAGGAATAGGTGTGACCCTCGCACGCGACATGCAGAAACCGCCACCACCCAAGGCCATACTATGGCTCCTCCGGCAAAAAAACATAAAGAAGGTCCGAGTCTACGACGCATTCAACGACCGAGACCTCCTGGAAGCCCTGCAGGACACCGGGATCGACGTCCTGGTCGGGATGAACAACGACGACGTGTACCGGGTCGCGGCCGACGTGTCGTCCAACGAGGCCGCCAAGTGGCTGGAGCAAAACATCAAGCCGTACTACGAGAAAGTCAGCTTCCGGTGCCTCCAGATCGGGCGGCGGATGTCGCAGCAGGGGAACCGGCAGATCTCGGCGGTTTTCCAGGCGCTGGTCCACGTCCAGACGGCGCAGAAGAGGCTAGGGCTCGACATCTCGCTAGGGATTGACTTGGATACCAACGTCATGACGGAGTCGTTCCCGCCGTCGGCGGCGTCGTTCGACGTGTCCATATTGCCGGTGCTCCGTCCCATGTTGACGTTCATGGAGCATAATATGGGGACACTCATTGTGAGCATTTACCCCATGATCAGGTACGTCTACGTGGGTGACGATTTTGTCCACCGCTAGAAATTTTCATACGAAGTTGATATTGTGAGTAAAAATATAACATTCATAACTGAATCTCTTCCAACGACTCTAGTTAGTTAGTGAGATCAACGAGTTTTTGACATGGTATAAGAGCTTTCGGTGATCGATAAGTCTTGTGTACGAATCTCGACGATCCTCATTCGGTAAGCACTAGATATTTTATATATGTGCAAACTTCGAACCTATATGAGTTAATTTTTGCTTAGGAGGAGAATCAACTAATTTTTGACATATATTTGAACCGAAGTGGATTAGATCGAAGTATGAACCTGTTTGGTTTTCTGTCATAAACCAAGTACTGGCCTCAATAGCTCAAGTTGTTGGGAGAGGTCTGTGTATGAATCTTAACTATTATTTTTACACCTCCTCTCAAACGAAAGCAAACTCATGATCTTGAAGTTATCTTGAAGTTTGAACAGACTCGTAATATATACCACGCGTTTTAAGACAATGTTTAATATTGTGGGTTGTGAAGACTTAAACACGTGATCTTAAGTACAAACCTGCTCTGATACGTACAATGTAATAAACCAACTGGTTCAAATAACTCGAGTTGGTTGGGAGAGATTATATATGAATGAAACTTTTAATTTCTTCCACTTTTTTTGTTCCATTCAAACTTTTGTTTTTGTTTTTGGAAGGTACGTGACGGACTTATACTACGAGTACAAGGGCGTCTCCATCGACTACGCGCTGCTGAACGGCGAGACGGTGGTGGTGACGGACAACGGCCTCCAGTACACCAACATGATGGACGGCCTGATGGACGCCTTCTACACGTCGCTGAAGAAGCTCGGGATCTCGATGAGGGTGATCGTCGGCGAGACAGGGTGGCCGTCGAGCTCCGAGGTCAAATACGCTACACAGAAGCTGGCCGGCGAGTATATCTACAACTTGGCAGAGCGGCTGAAGAACAACGTCGGGACGCCGTTGAAGCCCCAGTGGCACGTGGAGACCTTCATCCATACGCTCTACGTTCAGGACAAGAACAACGACGGGATGTATAAGTGGTACGGAATGTTTTATCCCAATGGTTCGCCGGCAAATCCATACCTCTCTCTTTGAAAGAAAGAAGGATAAAAGGAGAGAACTGAAATTAGGGTTATTGTATTCTTGAGCGTGTGTGTACAAGTTATTTGGGTAGGGTTTGTGATTCCAGGAATGCATGTATTTTTTAAACTGAGGAATTCTATTTCTTGGGTAATCTACAAATATATTATAGCCGAGTTGGGGACAGTTTTTCAGCATTTCAAATTTTCTGCAACGAGAGCAAAAGTAGTAATGGTAATTGTGTCTTCAAAATCATTATTTATTTTTTGTTCATAAGAAAAAATACATATATCTTGGGATTCGAACCATGGTCTTTCCAAACTAAGACAACATCCATTTCCTATTACGCTAAAGAAATCTTTTTTGTATCTTTTTAAGTAAATAATTTGAAAACCTGAAATCTAAAAATCATACGACTTCTCCACTACTGTTTGCTAGCCCACTAACTTTCCCGTAAGTACTTTCTTTGTTATTTGATAATTGAATTTTCATATTTTTGATTATTTTAATTTGATTTTAATAATAAATTTCACTTATGTCTATCTTATAAATGGAGGATAATTTTAAAATTGAAACCCAAATATCATCGATTCAAATATTACATATTGAATTGCAATATTGAATGTGATGTAAAATTCTTAACTTGGTATTAATTTTTAGAACTATTAAAGCAACGATATTGTTATGCAAATCATAAGTGACTAGCTTTTTTAAAATTTTAGTTTGGTTTACTGTTAAATCCTCACTCTCTTGATAATATCGCACGATTGGACAAATTGGTGAGTTTAAAAGAACACAATATCTGAATACCAATTTTTCTAGATGATTTCAATTATTTAAATATTTTGACTTATATGATAATTGACCATATCTATCATTTATAGTTAATTAGTTTAATATAAAATAACTGCAATACAAGACAAATCATGAAAGTCGAGTTGGAGTTTTCATGGATGCATTGATGTGGTCATGTGCATTAGCAAGGTAGGTACCACAAGATATATCTAATTTTTTATTGAGTGAATAAGATTGTACTTCAACTAAATTTAGAATATGTTTGTTGATAAATAATTTTTTCATTGCATAGAGTATGCATAAAGTATGGATGGAAAATGTTATTTTCTTACCAACACATCAACATACTCATTGACTACAGGTAACAAGAAACCTGAAATATTACGTGGAACTGAGGTAGTGGCAATGATCTGGAATACTAGTTGGCCAACCCACATTGGTACCTTCTACTTGAAATTTTTTTGTAATCCTTTACTGGTCATAGCTCTACAATTGCCACCTTCTTGCATATCCTTCAACAACACTTCTCTTCCTTCCACATCAAAGTACAAATACAAGTTGATGAAGTCAAACTTAACAAGGTTAATGGTTTTCAACCAATCCAACCCTAACACCATATCATTGGAGTCTAAGCTCCATAACCTTGCATCAAACTTGAATTGGTTCCCTTGCATTTCCCACAAAAAATCTCTACAGATCAAGTTGCTGGCCAAAATGGTCATCCGCCAGTTTAACTCTCAAAGGAGTAGTTGGAGGTTAGGATACAGTTGAGTTCCATTAACTTTTGCTCATTGATAAAGGTATGAGTACTACCTGTATCGATCAGAATATACGATTTGGCCTTCTTCATCTTACCCTTAATTAACAGCAGTTCCACTACTTAGTGCCTGCATTGTTAAAACCAGTACTACTTCGCCACTCCTTCCTCCTTGCTTCATTAGAGGCCTCGTCAAGCTGAGCCACTTGGGAAGCATGAGCCACGGTTCATGGCTGCCACATCTTCATAACTAGCCTAAGCTCCTCTTATAGACCACTATAATGAAACTGGACACAAAGTAAACCTCATCCAATGTAGGATTGTAACGAACCATATGTGATTTTAGTTAATCAAATTTTTCTTGGTATTCCAATAGTGATCCTCTGTGTCGAAGCTTGTTAAACTTTCCTACTATACCTCCATATTAATGATCACCAAAGTTATGGCATAAATCAGCTACAAAGTCCTCCTAAATCCATTCACCTCGCCCAAACTTCCAACCCTCTAACCATATATCAGGACGGCGATCAAAGTAAAAGGAAGCCATTCGCACCTTTCCAATCATTAGGAACCTCATAAATGTCAAACAATTTCTCGCATTCCCGGGTCCATTCTCTAGGGTTATCACCCCCAAACGCAAAAAATCGAGACGAGGAAGCTGACTGGATTGTTACCTCGAGATGGAGAATGAAAGTGCTTCCGCTTTGCATATTCAATACCGCAGTTCGATATGCAATATTTCAAGCAATGAAATTTGTGTTGCACTTTTAAGATTACCCGTCATTTTATAGGTTATGAAAATTATAAATCATGTATTAAACTTTGATTTTCAGAAGATTTAATATGCTAGCTAACCGTTAAAAGTCATCTACTTTTCAAATCTTCGCTTAGTGCATGTTTACAATTTACGAAGAGAAAACAAATTTGTTTAGTGTAATTGGTTGTGATTATTGTTTTTGTTTGAAGAGACCATGATTCAAATCTTGATATTGATACTTTTTCATATGAAGTAGATAATAATTGTGATGACAAAAATACTTTTCCTACTTTTACTCTCGCTTCACAAAATTTAAAATAGAGAAATCTTAAAACATTGAATATATCTTATAGAAAGAGCTTCTTCAACCAAATAGGAAAGGAATTTTACCTGAAATTATTATATCTTATAGATTGTGATTAATTGTGAAATCGGAACTCAAGTAACATTGTTTCAAATATTAAATAATAAATTGTATGTGTGGTTCAGTTTAGACAAAATACATGTGTAGCCAAAACATGGATTTTTGTGACAAATATAGTAATTTTTTGTCACAAACCTACACATAATATAAAGATAAATTGGACACTATGACAAAAAAATAGCTTCATAAAATCACTCTAATGCCACGAAATTTCAAATGAGACTCTCATTTTCCAATTTTATCATTATAATATGTGTATTTTTGTCACAAAAAATGATAATACTCGTCACAAATGTCAATATTTTGGTTACACTTTTATATTTTGTATAAACTAAACAACACATACAATTTAATATTAATGTTTGAATCAATACGGCTTGAGTTCCGATACAAAACTAATATCTTTCTATAAAATATAAATAATTTAGATAAAATATAAATATAAAAGCATCATCAGCAAACATATTCTAGAGTTCAATCAAAGAAATAACAATAAATAAAATATAGTTTAATTGGTTATAATGTTCTTTTTCATTCAAGTGATAAAGTTCAAACTCCGATGATAACATTTTTAATTTTTAACATATAAACATGAACGGTGACAAAAATGACCTTTGTCTCCTTCCAGAGGGTTGCGCCAAGGGGATCCTTTGTCTCCTCTCCTTTTTGTGCTGTGTACTGAGGGGTTTGCGACGCTTCTCCGGAAAGCGATATCAGAAAAGAAGTTGGCCGGGATTAAAGTAGCTCCTCGAGCGCCCAGATTATCGCATTTATTTTTTGCTGATGACTCTTATCTGTTCCTGCGAGGCACCCTTCAGGAATGCGAGAACCTTATTGAGATCCTCAATGAATATGAGGAATTGAGTGGCCAGAAGGTTAATCTCGCCAAATCGGCGGTTTGTTTCAGTAGGAATATAGTACAACAAGATCAAGAGTTCTTGGCAACAATTCTGGGGGTGGGGGCAGTTGGAGTTCATGATAAATATCTCGGTCTCCCGTCTTTGATTGCCCGATCTAAGATGGAGACGGTTCGGTATTTGGAAACAAAGTTGTTGGAACGACTCCAGGGATGGAAACAGAGGACGCTTTCGTGGGCAGCCAAGGAGACGCTTATCAAGTCTATTGCTTTGGCGTTGCCTTTGCTTGTGATGTCCTGTTTCAAGCTCCCTTTGTCCCTGTGCCGCCTCTTAGACAGGCATGTTGCCCGGTTTTGGTGGGGTGAGAATGAAGAGCATTCGAAGGTGCGGTGGATGTCATGGCGGGACATGTGCAGGAGTAAGCATGATGGAGGGATGGGCTTCCGCCGGTTTGAGCATTTTAATCAGGCTCTCCTGGCCAAGATTGGTTGGCGTATTCTCAGCGAACCCAATTCCTTACTGGCCCAAGTCTATCGGGGTAAATACTTTCCTACTGGCCATTTCCTATCCGCGAAAGCTCGGTCTAGGCCATCGTGGGGTTGGCAAAGTATCCTATTTGGACGTCAGCTGTTGGAGATGGGACTTCGATGGCAGGTGGGGAATGGGCGCTCGGTTTCTATGCTCCATTCTACCTGGGTCCCTGAGTTTCAGCTTGAGCCCCTTCGTTATAATCCTCGGATTTTGCCGGTTGGTGGTGATCCGTTGGTAGCTGAGCTTATTTTTCAAGGGGAGGGGCGCTGGTGTGACCAAAAGCTTAACCAGTGGTTTGACCCTGTGACGTGTCGTATAATAAAAGCTATCCCGCTCCCGCGTGAAAACGTTGATGATAAGTTGATTTGGCATGATACAGCTGATGGGGAGTTCTCGGTCAAATCGGCTTATCATCTGGCTGTCTCTTTGGAGAAAAGAAGGGGGCGTTGGAAGGCGACGGTGGATTGGATGGATAGGACAAGTTGGATACTGCTGTGGGAGGCTAATATCCCGCCTAAGTTGAAGGTATTTGTTTGGTAGATCTTCAATCGGATTTTGCCGACCACTGAGGCTCTTATTAGTCGCCATATCCCGGTCCTGTCGTGATGCCCAGTCTGTTGGGAAGGATCAGAAACCTTAGAGCATCTTTTTTTGGATTGTCCGGTTGCGCGTGCCTTGTGGGGGGCAGCAGGGTTGGAACACTTGGGGGAGGGTTTGCCACGGCATACTTTTCCCCTTTTCCTTAAAAAGTTGCTGGCTTTGGTTTCTCAACCGTCGCTGTGGATGGCCATCGTTGCGGTTCTTTGGCGGATTTGGAAGTCCCGAAACTGGGTGGTGTTTGAAGGAAAGTAGTTTGGACTTCCGGCTCTTATGCGCCAATTTACTCAGCAGGTTGAGGAATGGGCGCGGCTCCCAGTTGAGGACATACCCCTCAACCCAGTAGGAGGGGATCAAGGGGATCCGATGGTGGGCTCTTTTGATTTCGTCTGTGGGTGGGATGGGGCCACGAAGAGGGGATCTCATTCGGCTGGTGGAATGGTGCTTATGACTCCTTCTAGGGTCGTCCTTAGGGCCAGTGGGGTCCATTTTCCGGTCATCGATGATCCTGCGATAGTGGAGTTGATTACTCTGCGGGAGGCTATTCTCTGGTGCTTGAGACAAGGCTTTGCCTCGGTTAGGTTTGAAGGGGATGCTAAGGTTGTCATTGACAAAATCAGGCGAGGAGATTCAAGAGATAGCAGGATGAGTGCTGTATTGGAGGAAGTGGGAAATCTTTTTGACAGTAATCCCGGGTTCAGTGTTCGCTTCGTAGGTCGGTGTAACAATAGGGTTGCCCATTTGGTGGCTAGAAAAGCCCTCTCCTTGTACCCGACTATGAGTCGTGCTTTTAATTTCCAGGCCTGTCTGTTATCCAGGATGTAACTATCTTTTTTGGTATTTATATAAGATTATCTTTTGTAAAAAAAAAATGACAAAAATGACCTTCCCTTCCCTAACTTTGTACATTTACATTTTGGTCCTTGTTCATTACACACCGGCCACCGCCATAGCTGTCGACACGACGAAGGAATGACCGGCGATTGTGAACTGCCTCTTCACTGCCGCCTAGTCGATGACGATGAGTGCCTTTGTCCTTATTTCGTTAGTGATTTAATAGCTCGATTTTCTCATAGGAGCTTGATTTCCGTTAGCTTGAATTGTTTTAAGTTAAAAGAACTGAGCCCGCTGCTGTTTTACAGGAGCCGGACGTAGGTTCTGTGTCTTTAACCAGAGAAATGAAGAAAAATCTTCTTATCGCACTCTCTAAGGTTCTGCATCTTTTACCCCTTGTTGCTTATGCTTCAATGTGATCAGTAGTTTGAACGGCTTCTGCCATTTTAGGTTTACGGAGATATTCAGGTCTGGATTCCTGAAACGGAGGTTGATTCTGATGAAGTAAGCTCCTTCACAATTTTCTTTTCTGAAATTCTATGATCAAGTTAGTTTCCAGAGAGAAGCATTATGTTTCTGAGATATATTTCCGACAGAAGACCATGGTTTCTGAATGTTTATCGGAGGATGTACATGAGCAGCATAACTGTTTGATGAAAGTCCTAGCTGACTTGGTATGCACTCTCTCTCTCCCTCCCTCTCTATCTGCGCCTGAAGTTGGTTTGATAAGATGAACATGTAGAGTTAAATCTATCCAATTGAGTGAGGTTGATTTGGATGTATCAATAATATTACACAGGAGGAAGGCATGGTGGTTTCAAAATGCTTTTCCAAGGTCAGTTTTACTATACTTATGTACTTGTTAACTCATTGGAAGTAGCACTGTCCTAACGTGGTCATTTGCTATGACATGCAGATTCTTTTACTTACAGTCGACAGTCGGTACATACAGCATTCAGTGGGAAAGATTGGCAAGGCCGTTTCTAAGCTTCAGGCTCCATCTGTGAGTTTGTAGTTTGTTTCCATTTGTAGTCTACTGGGATACATAAATTTCGAAACTGGTTTGTGAATGTCTTGACAGGGAAGTAACTGGGACTCTTTGGTTCATTCACTCTGGATGTGCCTGGAATTGATAGTGAAATGCCTGTTGTCCTGTTTCCAAATTCAAATGCTGACGAGGATTTACATTTTGGATCCTCAAGTCTAAGGTCTTAATTCGTTGTCTGCGAAATACAGACTGGCCCGCAGCAGCTCATATAATCCAAATCTTGCGGAATATACTGAAAAGTTTGAAGCAAGAGTCTCATGATCAGCACGAACAAGGTTTTGGTCTAGTGGTAATACCACTAGCCTTGATGGAGCTCCCAACTTCGATTCCCTTGGTTAGTAAAAGTTGTGTTCTTGGGGAGTTTGATCTCATTTCTTTGTTCATTGGTTGAGCAAACCGCAGCTCCAGAGTCCACAGTCCATCTCTGAAATCAACATTCAATACTTCCCATAGTTATTAATCTTGTGCCTAAATTTCTCTATTGGTGTCTTGGCAAGCCAGAGAATAGGGTCAAACAGCCCACCTTTCAGTACTTCACTCACAAATTGCTGGTAAGACCTTGCTTCATTTTATTTTTCTGGCTAGATTAATTTGGAGTAGAAAAATATGATGTCTTGTCATGGAAACCATTGCAGGACATCGTGAATGATAGATAGTTTCCTATGTTTTACTGGTTCATATTGATATGCTGTGGTCGTTTTTTGTTGAGTTATTGATTGATGGGTTCAGGAATTTAAGATCAGCAGAATCTTTCTGCAGATGTTAATGCCGAGACTTAGTTTAAGTTGCATCACGCTTGTTTCCTGGTTGCAACTTCTCCATGACTACTTTGAAGAGCTACTTTTCAAACCCATGTCTAGGACTGAGTCTTGTCAAAATGATTGCCTAGAAGTCTCCCCGTTTCTCTCAAGCGTCTCTCAGGGAAAAGCATAAGACAGGAGCACTCCTTCATTCTAAAAGGCATGCCATACTCCTATTCTTAGCTGCTGCTTTAGTTTGATCGGCTCGTCAGGAGAGAATGCCAAGCAACTTCCTGCAGCTCATAACTCTCTCTCGGCTGTTGACTTGGTCTCTGACCCTGATTCTTCTGGTAGAAGTGAAGGATTTATTGAGCTCTACAAATGGCTCTAAGCCCATCTCCAAAACAGCTTCTTATAGGGAAAGGAAATGTGTATGGACAAGGACAAGTGTATACTTTTTGCAAGATCTTTTCTCCAGCTATATTTGCATGAGGTTAGAACCTTCTTAGCTCAGGGATTTGTTAGCTACTATAGAACACAACACACCCTTTTAAATTGTTGTCTATTGCTTGAAAATCTTAGCGAACGTATTTCACATTAGTCTATTGCATGCCTTAACAAATCAAGGATTTCTCGTCACGTCTAATTACTGTTTGATTCCGGTGTAGGATGACTTATAGTTTAAGGTTCTTCTGCAGTTGGTTGCTGTGTCTTCTTGTTTGGAGCATCAGTGAGTAGTGACCATAACTAGTTCAATTTGATTTTACTGGTGAAAACACATTATTGATTATCTGATCATGTATAGGTTAGAGGGATATAAACAAGCGTTCATGATGCAGAAGAGGATATTGGATTTCTAGTTTCAAATGCTTTCTGTCCACTGAATTTATTCCATCCATTCTTCTCAGAGGTGACATCCCTTTGTATAGGCTTCAATATTAATAGCCCAGAAGTCCTTTGTTTCGTTTTGAAATACTTCATTTTCTTATAGTTGCACTATGATCATCAAGTGCTGCTTGATTATTACCTTATTTCCAAGGATCTTGGAACTAGTGGTGCAGAGTATCTGTTGAGGTAACTTCCAGTTCAGACATCCTAAAGTGTAGTCTTAACTCGTCATTCCTGAGCGTTGGTTGTCATAAGTTGACTGCTGTCCTAATCTGTTGCTATACTTATCTATCCCCCTTCACTTTTTAGGTGTTTAAGGACTACATGTAGTGCATGCCATTTTTTCAGAGAGTTCTCTGTTGAAGGAAATGCTACGGATAGTTTATCTAAAACAAGGCAAAATACCATATGGTATAAAATAACAGCATACCATATGGTATGAAAAATACCAGTCAATACCATATACTGTTATTTAATACCAGTCAATACCATATGGTATTAAATAACAGCCTACCATATGGTGGTATAATATGGTATGAAGTTGGTAACGAGAGGTTTGAAATTTTTTCCCCCAAAAAATTTTGAAACCTCTAAAAGATCATGATTAAATCGTTCCTTTTGTGCAAAAATTTCCGAAAATGACTAAACAACGAAGGAGATACCATATGGTATGGAGTTGGTAACGAGAGGGATGAAATTTTTTTTTCTCAAAAAATATTGAAAATGGATATCATTTTGTAGAGCACAACGAACTCGTTCCATCTGTGCAAAAAAATTGAAATCCGAGTTAGAATGAAGAAGATATGATCCAATTAAGAAAACTAGGGAAAATAAATTCCTTTAATTCTCCACCCTTAGATCTGCAGTCACTTAAAATAAAGGTCCAGATTTGGTTACTCATTGTTACTCACCCTATCTTGAGCCTATCAGAAGCTGGTTCTGGTATTGAGATTCAGGTTTTGACTAGTTTAGCTCTGTAAATTTGCCAGCTTTCTTAATTTGGTCGTCTTGAATTTCCACACTAATCGGCTTGTCTTGTCACTTCAAAGGTCCAACGTATTCGCAGATTAGGTAGAGAATTTCAAGTTGTGGTTATTACGCGTTGGGTCATTTTGGATAGAGTCTGAAAATCCCAGAGATTTGTTTGACAGGAGAGAAGTTTGGCTTTATTAGTTGAAGCTTCTTAGTTTCAGCCCAAGGCAATTATCACAATCTGTGGGCAAGTTGTGTGTAAGCAGAGAAGAACCGGATGGAGGAGAAGAAACAGAGTTATCCTCCTCACTTCGTGCTGGTCCATGGAGCTTGTCATGGAGCGTGGTGTTGGTACAAGGTTGTTCCTTTACTGAAACAAGCTGGCTACAAAGTGACCTCTCTCGACTTGGCCGCTTCTGGGATCCATCCAAAGCAGGTTACCGAGCTGGGTTCGATCACGGACTACCTCGCGCCCCTTATGGAGTTGATGTCTTCTTTAGCAGGAGAACCAGAGAAGGTGATCTTAGTTGGACATAGCTACGGTGGTGTTGGGATATCTGTTGCAATGGAAAAGTTTGCAGAGAAAGTAGCTGTTGCGGTGTTTGTAGCGGCTATTATGCCAGCTCCTCATCCTGATGCCAGCTACTCTGTTTCGAAAGAAGAGGTACTTTTCCCTACTCTTTCTCGTTCTTTATTGGGCAAACTGGTTTTTAAGTTTCACATCTTGAAAGAGATTGGAATCAACGTTTTGGATTTGAGTATAAAGTTACAAATTTCTTCTTTTTAGGTACAAAAAGTTGCAGACTTTTACTTTACCCATCATCTTTCTCTGAGCAACCCCTACCCCTTTGGTTGCCTTATCTCTGCTTTTCTTTTTGACTCAATCTGCAATTGATTAACCTTCAATTTGTATGCAGTATTTCAAGCGAATAGATTTCATGGATAGCCAATTCTCATTCCAAGATGGTCCAGAAAATCCTCCGACCAGCATGTTATTTGGACCCAAGGCGATGTCAACTAAATTGTACCAGCTCTCCCCACCTGAGGTAAAACCTTGAACACCGAGTCTTCAGTTTACATCCATCACTAGATTAGACTGACCATGAGTCACCTCATAACATCTTAATCGTTTAGCTTTAACAATGGTGAAAGTGAGGAGGAGCTTAAGTGACAATTCTGTTTAGCAATTTCAAAGGTGTAGATCGTACTGCCAAATATGTGCTTGGAATCCCACCATTTTGTATGTGTTTTATTTGCTCTTCTAATGTAAACAGCTACCCTTCGGCTTTCTTCTAGTAAGCTGGGTTTTTTTCTTCTACCCAAGATCAAATTGTTATGTTGGACCCAGTAATGGAAATTGCGAACGGTGTGTATATAGTATGAAGGTGCTGAATTAAGTAAATGCTAAAGTTTATACGCGACACAAAGAGGTCGAATTGCTGATGAATTGCAGGGATTAAGATGGTCTTATTACTGTCCTTTGGAGCAGGATTTGACGCTGGGAATGATGCTAATAAGACCCTTCCCTGTCTTCAAAGATGAGGAAGCAGAAGCTGAAATACCCCTGACAAGAGAGAGATATGGATCGGTTCCTCGAGTTTATGTTATCTGTGAAGCCGACGAGATTGTCAAGCCAGATTTGCAGAGGTGGATGATTGAGAACAATCCTACTGATGAGGTCAAATCCATATCTGGTGCTGATCACATGCCTATGTTCTCAAAACCACATGAGCTCTGCTCTTACCTTTTGGAGCTTGCCAGCAAGTTTGTTTGTTGAATGAACCGATTGCCTCGGCTTTCCTGCCCATGGTATAAGACTATAAGTTCATCTGGCCAAGTTACAGTGCTACTGAAGTAGGGCTGCAAACGAGCCGAGTCGAGTCGAGTTTTTGCTTAGTTTGAGCTCGGCTCGTTTATTAATTTTTTAGCTTGAGCTCGGCTCGAACTCGAATTTTGATAATCCAGCTCGAGCTCGAGCTCGGCTTGAATAAAAATAATCTAGCTCGAGCTCGACTCGGTAGAGCTCGATAAATGCTCATTAACATAGCTTGTCAAGCTGAGTACAAGCTCGGCTCAAGATGAGCTCGATTTAAAATCATTTTTGCTGGAAAAATGTATAAATATAAGAATTTAAATGATAGAAATAACTCTAGAAACTATAAATAACATCTAAATTTCATACACATCTGTATTAGAAGACAATGTTCATGTTTAAAAGAGTAATTCATCCTTCCACAAGCTCAAAACAAGGCATCTCGCGAGCTTAGCTCGACAAGCCACCGAATCAAGCTAGCTCGCGAGCTTATCAAGCTGAGCATGGTCTAGCTCAGGCTTGGCTCGTTAACTAACGAGTTGGCTCGCGAGCCGGCTTGTTAATTAACAAGTCGAGTGTCGAACGAGTTTTTTCCGATTCGAACGCCGAGTTGCTCGCGAGCGGTTTGGCTCATTTGCAACCCTATACTGAAGTGTTCTTTGTATGTAGTGGTAATCTAGTAATAAATATCCATGAACATTAAATCATTAATCAAACATGATGACAAAAAAAAAAAAACGTTATAAAGCACCAAAAGAGTCATTGGTGCAAAGCCAATGCTCAAGCCCAGCAGCAAAAGGCCGAATCTGTAACACCCATACTCATGCAACCCCAAAATGAGCTGGCAAATTAATACAAGGAATGGAGTTGCAGTGTCGGTGCTCCCTCCTTCCACTGAAATCAACCCACTCTTGCTTCCATAAGTCACTTAGTCTCTCATCCATAAACCATCCTACTTCCCGGTGCATCTCTCGGCTGCTTCATATCACTACTGCTCCCTCAAAATTCTCATCTCGTACATCCCTCAGTGCCCTCACCATCAACCTTGTCCATCATCGCATCACATAAACCACCACCAATCCGACCCTCCAATCACCACAACTGTTATACCACTCCTTGCTCTCGATCCAAGTAGACGAACACCTGGAAACTACAACCAACGACACCACTCAAGTCGCCAACACGCACGCCGAAAAATGTTGGGTATTAGCGGAAGTAATGGTAATTTAGGATCAAAACAAAGGAAATAATTGGTGTTTAATCACTCAATTTAGGAAACACACTCAACCAAACAAAGCTTTAACTTTTGGCTCTTGCTTGTTACATACATACACACGGCAGAGAGCTCTTTCTATTTTATTATTTTGTCTCTTGCCCATGCTCTTTCTGATACACTCCATACTTGCAGCATATATATAATGTAAATGAAATGAGAAGAATCAAAAACACACCACTTGCATGCAACGTAAATGAGAAATGACATGATTTTAAATGTGTCCCGCTGCATTATTTTCTTCTTCTATCTTCTTATCCATTTGTTGTGAGTACTTGCATCATTTGATGGTACCAACTCTTCCACGTTGAGTTGCTGTTGGCAGGACAATTCATCATGCAAATTGGTCCTCCATTTATTATGCATTGATGATTAATAATTCTCCACAATTATCAAACGAACCCACCATGTGTGATGTTTACTACTTGCATATTATTGCAAATTATCAATCAACAGAAACCACATTAAAAGTTGCCCGATCCTTTCCCCATACGACGTCGCCGCTCCCCACGACCCTAGTTCATCGCCTCACATCCACTAGGTAAGGATCACGAAACCATCTCAGTTCTAAAATCAAATCCATCAATAGCTAACCAACTCGACGGTTGTGAACCATAGTCTTGATGGCGACGGCGAGGACGGAAATCTCCGGATGATAGAACGACAATTGAATCAAGGAAACAACGACTCTAACGACTCAAATCTAGATCTAGGCACGCATACGAGGTAAGAAAACCCAACTCCTCGCATTAAAATTCATGTTTATGCGAGCAATACGAGCTTGTCAAATTCTGGAAATTTAGCGACGGTTTTACAGGTTTTTAGTGACGAACTCTTGGAGCTTTAGTAACTGCCGATCTGACGGTTGCTAAAGATATTGCAGAGCATTTTTATTCATTGCAAGTAAATCCACATAGTTATGCTTGTTTGCAGAACATATCCTCAAATTTTGTCAAATGGTCGTTTTATTCGTTAAAATCTCATAATATTGTAAGTTAAACTAACTAGAGATTATTAAAGTAGAAATCAAGATAATTAGTAATAATTACTCAGTTTTGGTTACCCAAATAATATGAGTAATGTTGTTAGCACGTGATGAATGAATTAATAGGATTAGCTAATGGGTAAATAATGTGTTATCTAGTTTGATAAATTGATTAGTATAATCTGGAGTTAACTTACGTAGGTTTATTGTAGCACAATTAGTTTTCAATGATTAAGATTGATTAAGACATGTAAAGAATTATGATTCTAATATGTTAGATCAATTGGTACATTAGTATACCATACTTTGCACATCTTGCAAAGTATTCCCAAGTCGAGAAAGCCGTCGCTAAGAACCCAAAACTCAACCAATCTAACTTTGAATTTCACCATAGGGCCAAGAGGAATCAACCAAATCAAAGGCCCCAAACTTCACGTTGTAACTTCTTGAATTAATAAGGTGCGTGGTTTGAGGGGCTAGTTAGTATTTCGCTTTAATCTATCTAATTATGCCATTTAATTAAGTTATGCTCTATATGTATGTTCAAGGTAAGTTTACTTATGTTCAGTAAGCATGGCATTGCATTCCATCATGAAATTACATTTTAAATAAGAAGATACAAGATTATGTTTAAAGCAAGTTTATGGACTTGCTTTCCAAGTTATTAAGTAAGAATACGTTTTTAACTACTCGCTTGACTAGCAACACTGTAGGGATGGCAATTTACCCACCCATGGGTAATTTTGCCCAAACCCAAGTAGACCCATTTATTATGGGCAGGGTTTGGGTGATGTGTGTATGGGTTTGGAGTTTGTATATGAGTTTGGGTTAGATATGGATATTATCTAAATGGGTATGGGTTGGATATGTATATCCATTTACTTGAGGGTGTTTTAACTACACATGCAAAAATTGGACTTATTTGTAAAACTTGAAAAATTTAGGTACCAAAACGTAATTTTCCATCAATATTTTGAGGACTTATATGCAAAAAAATTAAATTTAGGTACTAAATCTGCATATCTATTAAGTTTAGGTACCAAACTACAATTTGTATTTGGGCATGGGTACAAACCCAAATCCATTTGTTATAAACCCAACCCAACCCAAAGTAAATGGGTATGGGTACAAACCCATCAAACTTTACCCATATCCATATATTTGGATTTCATACCCAACCCAATTGGGTTGTGATTATGATAAGTTATGTCGGTGCCGGTCAGTTCACTACAACAAAACTAACCTACAACGGCAGTCGTCTTCCAGCGGTTGTAAGAATCGCCGCCGGATTTTGCATTATTTATTCTATGCACCATTCTAAGCTGCGGTTACGGAAACCGCTTCATGGACAAATCTCCAAATCCACCTATTCTAACCCGGCCCAATTAGTTCGCCTGCCGGCCCAATTTTATTGACTGTCAATTGCTACCTCCCCTTAAAACTTCCCCCGATTCCCATACTTTCCAAAAATCAATTTCTTTTCTCCCCACTCCAGCACGTCAAAACCCTAACGCCATCGCACACGAGAATCTCAATCTTCGATAAAATCCATGATCTTCGCCCCTCCTTCTCTAATTGTTTAGTATTAGCTACCAATTCTTAGCTATAAATTATTTTGTGTGAAATAATTCTTCGAATTGCTTTTTGATGACTAATTTATTAGATTTTCATTTTTCTCAAGTATTTTATTAAAACCGGCACAACCGGCATACATACTGATTGTACCACTATCAGACCATTCCACTTACAAAACTGGCACACCAGCATAAACGACAACCTTGCCCGCCACCAATAACAACGAGCCGACGGCGAGTGCTTCACTCAAATCGCAACCCTTATAACTCTCCCGCCCGCCGGCGGATGCACAGCTGCTTATTGTTGTTGGCTGTCAATATCTCTAATTGCAGCCGTCGTCTTCGTCTTAACACCGGTTCAGCAGCCGGCCATGGCAAGGAAGATGATCCTCAACAACTGCACCATCCATCGAAACGACTACTCTCGATTTCATTGGCGAAGGAAAGCCGGTACGACTGAATCCCCTTATTCTTCTTCTGCTTCTGCTTCTGCTTCTTCCACAGCTCCTCTCTCGTCTCACTTCGCCTCCAATCGAACTAGCCCTCGTACCTCCAATTCTGCCAGTTTCGCCAGCGTAGACGATGCACTGGATTCAATTAACAGGATGCTCCACATGAATCCCAGGCCTTCAATTCTGCAATTTAACCGGTTAGTGTCTTCTCTTCTCAGAATGAATGCCTTCCAGGCTGCCTCGGATGTGTTTAAACAAATGGAACTAGCTGGAGTTCCCCTTAGTATTTACTCGCTTAACATGCTGATTGGTTGCTTCTGCAAATTGGGTAGTGTGGGTTTTGGCTTCTCAGTTTTGAGCAAAACTTTCAAACTTGGTTTTCAACCTGATGTTGTCACGTTCAATACATTGATCGATGGGCTATGTAAAGTTGGAAAAGTCATTGAGGCTGTGAGGTTGGCTGATAAAATCAGGATTCTGGGGTGTCCACTGGATGTGGTCACTTACAACACAATCATATGGGGACTGTGTAGGGCAGGACAGACAAGTACTGGACTTGAATTGCTCGGAAAAATGGAAGAGTTTGGGTGTGAACCTGATGTGGTTAGTTATAGCACAGTCATCGATAGCCTCTGTAAGGATGGAATGGTATCGAAAGCTTTGGACATGTTTCTCGAGATGAGGGATAAGGATATTTTGCCAAATGTTGTTTCTTACAATTGCTTGATTTCTGGTTTATGTATCTCAAGCCAAAGGAATGAAGCTATGAAGTTGTTGAATGAAATGATGGCAAATAAGATCATGCCTTGTGTAGCTACCTTCAACATGATGATTAATGCTTACTGTAAGAAGGGAGATGTTCTGGAGGCTAAAGCTATTGTCAAAATGATGATTGAAAGAGGACTGTTGCCAGATGTCATCACTTACAATTCGTTGATGGATGGGTATTGTTTGCGCAACGAATTAGACAAAGTTGAACAGTTATTTGATTTCATGGTGAACATGGGATGCAAACCTGACGTTTATAGTTATAGTGTTATGATTCATGGATATTGTAATGCTCAGAGGATGGATGAGGCTGAAGAATTAGTTAACGATATGCTTGAGTGGGATTTGAATCCAAATACAGTTATATATAATACTCTCATTACGGGATTTTTCCGAGCAGAGAGACTGAAAGATGCACACAGGCTTCTAAAAAAAATGCACATTCAAGGTTTCTCCCCAACTATCGTGACATATGGAAGTTTGTTACATGATTCGTGTAGGCGAGGTGATGTTGACGCCGCACTGGCTCTATTTCAAGCAATGGAAAATAGCCAGTTGAAGCCTAATGTTGTTTTGTATACCACTCTTATCGATGGGTTGTGGAAAGCAGGGAGGGCTCAGGAAGCAAAGGACATGTTCTTGAGGCTATCGAAAGACAATTCCTTACGACCTAGTACCCATACTTATAGCGTAACAATTGGTGGGCTTTGTAGACAAGGTTTGGTAGATGAAGCATATGATCTGTTCCGAAAAATGGAACTGGATGGTTGTCTACCAGATAGTTTCTGTTATAACAGAATTATTCATGGATTTCTTCATGACAAGGACCCACATGAAGCAGTGGCCCTTATTCAGGAGATGGTCTCTAAAGGTTTCTCCGCTGACACAACCACAATGTCCTTGCTTATACAAGTATTGCCCAAAAATCAGTTGAATCATCCGCTTGTCCAAAAGCTGCTGAATGGTCCAGATATCAACATTCAGGAAATAGAGTCTTAACTGTATATCAGCTGCTGCAACTCAAGGTGCTTGTCTTAATGTAAAAAGTTGAGACCTTTCTGAGCAACATTATCGAAGACGTTTTTTTCTTGTGGTAGCCAAATAGCCAATGCCTTGAATGTAATTATGGGTCGTCTTAGATTTTACTAATGAAGCAAAATTGCCCTTAAGTTGAGCATGTGTTGAATACTTCCTTTGTGTCTGTTTATGGTAATCTCTGGAGTTCTGAACTGCCACAGTAAGGTTGAACTTAGAAGAGGAATATGAGATTCTGTTTTTCAAATGCAAGGAGGAAACTGAAACATGCCTAGTCACTGGCTCTGTTTACTGCCTTCTGAAATGGAGAGACAACTGAACTGCGAACAATTGTAGGCAAACTATTTGTCTTAATCTGTTGCTTTGCTTTTCTATCGCCCTTCCCTTTTGTAGGTGTTTAAGGGCTTCCTGCAGTTGCATGGCATTTAGTCAGAGAGTTCTCTGTTGAAGGAAATGCTACGGATAGTTTATCTAATAAAAGGCACAAAATCTGGGCAGATTCTTCTGCATTCCAGGCAGACCAATCCTCTATGGCAACAATCATATCTGTATCTCCCTCTCTTAAAGATATAGTTAAGATAGATTTGGAAAAGAGATTCTGACAGTAGTTATATGCAAAATGATAGCAGAAGGCATGCGTTCATCGGGGCCAAAGAATGTCTGCTATCTATGAAAGTTTCTATAGAAAATCTTCACCGGAATATAATCTTAAAGTTCTCCTACAATGGTGTGTTATCCTCACTTCTTCTGCCTTCTTATTGAACTTTAGTGATCAATGAACCAAAAGTGTGTGAAATATGAGATCATATTTCTCATTCAGTAGCAACTTAAATTCATTGTATCAGTTTCCGATTACATGAAATTTTGGTTGGTTGATTCGTTTTTGTAGGTTGACAAAATTTGAGGAACTCTGCAGCAGTGACGATGACTTTTCCTAGGCTACTTCCTTAGAGAGAACCATCTTTTCCATTTGAAGGGAAGATCACTAAAATAGCATGCTGGGTGTTCAACTCAATATTCCAAGGTGTGGCTCCAAGTAACCTATGTTTACGGAAGAAAGATCAAATCTTTCGAACAAACTCTTAACTGAATCGGACTGATCGCACTGTTGGACCTGAAGGGTGTTCCTGTTGATAGTCAATAGAATTTTCTGGTTGCCGAGGACCAGGAGCTAGTTCTGGTAGGTTCAGGATTTCACTAGCTTAGCTCTCGAAAGATCCCAAGGATCTGTTTGACAGGACAGACGTTTGGCTTTATTAGTTGAAGCTTCATAATTTTGAGGGCAAGTTGGGAGTAAGCAGAGAATACCCAGATGGAGGAAAAGAAACAGAGTCGTCTTCATCACTTCGTGCTGGTCCATGGAGCTTGCCATGGAGCGTGGTGTTGGTACAAAGTTGTTCCTTTACTGAAACAAGCTGGCTACAAAGTAACAGCTCTCGACTTGGCCGCTTCTGGGATCCATCCAAAGCAGGCTACCAAGTTGGGTTCGGTCTCGGACTACCTCGCGCCCCTTATGGAGTTGATGACTTCCTTAACAGGAGGAGGAAAAGAAGAGAAGGTGATCTTAGTTGGACATAGTATGGGTGGTGTTGGGATATCTGCTGCAATGGAAAAGTTTGCAGAGAAAGTAGCTGTTGCGGTGTTTGTAACGGCTTTTATGCCAGCTCCTCATCCTGGTGTCGGCTACTCTCTTCCAAGAGAAGAGGGTTTTTTCGCTTCTCCTTCTAGTTCTTCATTCGTTAAACTGGTTTTAGAGTTGCAGACATTCAGTTTACCCATCATAAATTCTACGGAAAATTTGTATGCAGTGTTTCAAGCGACTAGATTTCATGGATATCGAATTCTCTCGTTCCATGATGGTCCCGAAAATCCTCCGACCAGCATGTTGTTTGGACCCAAGGCGATGGCAACTAAATTTTACCAGCTCTCCCCACCTGAGGTAAAACCCTGAACACCCAGCCTTCAGTTTACATCCATCACTAGATTAGACTGACCAGGAGTCACCTCAGAGCATCTTCATCGGTTAACTTTAACAATTGCGTAAGTGACGAGGAGGTTAAGTGACAATTTTGTTAATACGCGCCACAAGCAGGTTGACATTTAAATTGTTGATGAAGTGCGAGGATTAAGATGGTCTTATTACTGTCTTTTGAAGCAGGATTTGGCACTGGGAATAATGCTAGTAAGACCCTGCCCTCTCTTCAAAGATGGTCTTATTATTACTGTCTTTTGGAGCAGGATTTGAAACTGGAATAATTCAGATTCTCAAATGTTAACATTAACTGATAGCATTGAACAACCCGATGCCCTTCTCAAAGGCGACAATAACCCCAGAATCAGAAATGATGATTTGTTATCATCTACACATTACTACGTTGTGCTCTCATTTCGTCGAGCAGTTAATATGGGCTACATTTGGTTGATCACTCGGCTGAACCACCTTCTTTCTGAAGCTGAGCATCACAACTCTGCCAATCCTCATCAGCAACTTCCAGTAGGCACTGATAGAGCACCTTTGGCTTTGACAGCATAGCCATGTGGTCAGCTCCTTCAATGTACTTCACCTCATCTGGTGGGTAGCTCTTAATGATCCTTTCCTGGAATTCCTGCTTCGTCAGGACATCATCTTTGCACACAATGTATACCCTTTTCACAGAACCATATTGAGCCTCACTCAGCAGGGATTCCTTGGACATGTCTCCCAGGAAGAACTTGAATGGCCGAATCATCAGCTTGGCCAGTTCCAGATCCTGCAAACCCACAAAGTATTAGCACATTTTGATTATAGTTTCTTTATAGAACAACATTGGTTACAGAACAACATTAGTGGAAGCTAGAGGAACTTGCCTCTGGCTGGCAGTTTGTGTACATCAAGGTTTCCAGGTAAACTGGCCCGAAAAGTGCTGATATCGGAAGCCTTTCCTGTTCTTTGTCAAATTCTACTTCACATAGTGCAAAGACCTCCTCTGGTGTCTTCTCCAGGATCTGTTTTACCGTACAACATTAGTAGCAGCAACAGTACCAATGAAATAACCACCATTTACATGGTAGAGTCGAAACAAATATGAAGTTTCGAGACATCACGTTTGCGCCACTGAGCTTTACCAAGGATGTGACTACTTATACAGCGTCAATTTTTCAATATTCGCGCAGAAAGAGGTCTCGTAATATCGAACTCGAGGCTCTGCTAAAACTGAAGAGTAAAAGGGAAAAGTATTCTGATAGTTCATTGTAAGGAATATATTTTTTTTTTCTGTTACCTCTATCATGAGAGTGGCAGGAGGCTCGACGAGATTAGGCATTTCAGCAGTCACAAAAACAGCCACCAGCACTTTCTTAGGGAACCTCTCCATGACCAGAGATATAACGTAGCCACCAAAGCTGTGACCCACCAGAACCACCTTGCCATCATCATCATCTTCAGGCAGGGAGGCCATGAACTCCATCAACGGCCGAGCATAATCCGAGATCGTGACAATCTCATCCAGCCGATTCGGATTAGCCCCGGATGCTCCGAGATCGAGAGCAGTAACTCTGTGACCACTGGATTTCAGGAGCGGGATCAGCTTGTACCAGCACCATGCTCCATGTGCTGCTCCATGAACCAGCACAAAGTGCTTCTTTTCCCCTTCCATAAAGTTGGTTTCTGTTTTGTACGTTTTGGGTACTAATTGGGTTGTTGGTTGGTTTTTTATATTGGCGCCAGAATATGGCTTGGAAAGGTTGAAGTGAACGAGGAGAAAGCATTTGTGGCCTTCTGGGGAGTTTCCACCATTTTCATTGGAAGTGTCATATAGTGGGTGAGTAGTGACAAGCAAAATTGATTACAGGGTGAATCTGCATTTTGGGGCTTTGGTTTAACCGTCTGTTGGTCGTATACTCTAGTCGGTTTTGTGCAGTTTCTTATTCACAGCTAATTTCAATTGGTTCATATTATGTTTTTATGTATCTAGTTTCAGCATGTCATGTTCAAGGGAAAGGCGTTCTGTTTGTATACCATTGCATGTATCTGAGATTCCTTATATTGGAGAGGCTGCTTTTGTTGTGGTGTTTTGCTTTTCGTTTAATCGTAACATAACTATTTTAACTAATTAACCTAATGTTGATGTGTCAGACACTTCAATTTTGATGATATCTCACTCACGACTAGACATCGCATGTGTCCGTTCATGAAAAACATATGTGTGTATACAATTTCGTTAAAAATAGTGAAACTCTTTTAACATTTGTCAAACAACATCAAAAGTATGATAATCTTGTTTCTTATAAAACTTGGAGCACATAAGGCAAGCCACCTGCCGACGGAATCTTTTCTCCATAACGAAAAGCAAATCGATTTCGAGCTCATTTTTCATTAGTTTCATTCTGAAACTCATGGCCTGCAAGTGCTTGCAAATTGTTTGTCTAGAATCATGCAGTTTCCATTCCTCATTATTGAAACTCATGTTCTGCAAGTAACCAAGGGTGTTCACTTTCTCTATGAACTTCCTACGATAAGAGTTCCAAGCTTTTTTTTTAAAAAAAAGGAAAACTCTCATGATCTTGACTCAATCAACTCTGTGCATTTACAATGTCACTACAGTCTACAAGTCACATCCATGTTCATCATCCTGGCTGTAAAATCCAGTGACCAGAGCAATTCTTTCGTTCGAGTTAAACAGCCAGCTTTGAATAATACGATTGTACAATTGGGTTCATTTTCAGAATAGAATTTATGGATCGGGATATACTTCTAGAATGATTAAACTGAATCGGAAAGTTATATACAGTTCTACATGGTACTCTATGCACCGCCAAAGGCTAAAGAACTAAGAGCAGAGAAACCCTTAGGAGGCAGAGTCCAAGTTGATATGTACATTTCTTTTTCACAGAAACATGTTGCAAGGGATGCTGCACTGGTTCATATTTGGTTCAGACTTTAATCATGAGCTTGTACCTTCAGCTGCAGTAAGAAACTTCTCTTT